TCCGTAGCCGTTTTGGCGAGTCTTTGGCAAGAGATTCAGGCAGAATCGCAGATGGTGCTTGACAGGCTGACAAAGAAAGATTTCCAGGGATGCTTCCAGGCTTGGCAGCGGCGCTGGGATCGTTGTGTTCACTCCCAGGGGAACTACTTCGAGGATGAATTTAATACCTGAGATAAGTGTACGGGTTTTTATAGGCGCAGTCTAGAAACTTTCCGATCGCACCTGGTATAAATATGGCGCCTTGTAGTCTGATAGAAGTTCATCTTAAACTACCAGACTACACGGAGCTACAACCCACCGCCCCGAAAACATCAAATCCTAATTACAATGGGATATGTTGTTCTTTGCCTTGTTGAAGGATGAACAGACAGAGAAGTGATAAAGCTAAGTACGGAGTTCTAATTTTAGTCTAAAATGTCAGCTTTCGAGGGCACTCTATCGGGTAGGAACTGGTCGTTAATTATTTCAAGGCGTTTTCTCCATGTAATCTTGAAATGACTGGCGATAATTACATTGATAAGGAACTATCGGATTCGATAAAAAGCAGGTATTGTAGACCATACAGGCAGCTATACGCTTTTGAATGGGGCTGTACTCTGTGGAGTTAGTTGTGAAAATGTGAGGCACGTTAACTTGTCCGGAGCAATGCTCGAAATTAATAACATCGAATTAAACAAGAAATATGGTAATTAAACAACAGGGACATCACATGTTCCAGTAACCATGGCACTGAAACCGAACAGTAGTTTCGTAATTTGTATTGTTCCCCAATCAGAGTACTATTAGGGTTATCAATTGAGGAAAGATTATATGGCCTGGTTATACAGCAGGCAGAGACTACGGACAGATATGATAATATTAAAATGTATCTTTAACGTTACCTTACATAGTTCATAACTATGCATCTGATTCAGGTAACTCAGTGGGGTTAGTGATCATTGTAACTAAATATCACGAGGGGGTGGAGTGTTCATGTTAACCGTGTCAGCTAGGCTAACACTTCGAAAGACTAAAAAATACAAAGTCATGTGGTTCAGTGGTACACCGCACAATGAAACACAGCGGAACCGATCTGGTAAAATACATCGTTAGCCAGCTGCAGCCAAACAGACGCTAGCAGCGAGCTTAAGCCTCAACTATCTGGAAAGTGGATACAATTATAGTTTTATATATTTTAATTAATTAGGCAACACGGAGTTTTCCTCCGGGGGCTTCCCCGGTTTCTCCGTGGCATCCCATTCACACACAGAAGAAGGCAATGGCAAACCACTTTTGGATCATCTGCCAAGAACGTATATGAACAGATCCCAGTCCGAGAAAAGGATGGAAGGATCCTGTTCATATGGACCTGTCGTCAGACAGAACACTAAATAAAAATAAATATTTTAATATTAACGTTTTCATATAATACCTGCACTCTAAGAGTTCATTTTCTGTTGGTTAACAGCTCATGGAATACTCTTTCGTACTAAATGACACAGACTAGATTTGATAAAATGCAGTTTAAATATCTGGGCGATGATTTACGGGTTCACATCTGGTGATGAGTGGTCAGTAAATACCTTGGTAATGCTAAGTTAAGTAGCCCTGACAGTTGCAATAGGGGTCACAATCGAATGCATGAAGAGGAAATTGTTATGGAAGTACTTTCTGTATTCGCTACACTGCGTTACCGCGAAGCAGGATTTGAGATTTTCAAGGCGCTGAGTACGAAAATGAAGATGGCTGTCTTCTGGGTTGTAGCGCCGTGTAGTCTGGTGAAAGTTTACCAACATTTCAGAGGTCTTTGCTGCCTCCATCTTCAGGGCGCTATAACTCAGAAGACAGCCATCTTCGAGACACCGCTAAATACATCTACTTAATAAAGGATTCTGGTTACAGAAGATCATCTTGTGACAGACTATTATAAGTACAATATTGTGGTTCGTATAAAAATATTTTCTTCAATATAAATTCTAAAAGAACGTGTCTTCACGTTGTATAAATGTCTGCTAGTTTATTTTTTTAAAGATTGATGTGAGTCACGAAACCCCGATTTGCTTGTAATCCTGGAAGAGACCAATTACTTAATGGAGTGCATAAGCTTACATCACTCCTACATATAATTTCAAGGAAGAAAACTAACAATGAACAATAAAATCATACAGACAAAGGAAGCAAGAAAACAATGACATGGCGCTAATTTCTATTTAGTTTTAACATGCGTGCCTTGTACTGTAAAACACTATACTTCTCAAACACGTGGCCGAAAATGTGAAAAATGAGCGGTTTAATTCAGGAACAAAATATCATAAAATAAAAACAGAAACCTACAATTTCGGGGTAACAGATTTTGACAAATTAATGAATGGCCAACACATCAGTAAAGAAACTGAAAACTTCAAAGACTATTTAAGAATTTTAGAATGCATTATATCATTCTCAATTGTCAAGAATTTTTTTCAATTCATTTCACTTTACAACATGCCATAAGGAAGGCATTAGGAAATGATAGGAGATGGGAAACAAATGACAAATCAGATTCATGCTGACGACATTAATTTACTGGGCGAAATTGGCCTTTTTGGCTGTTGTCAAGCACTTAAATAAATGAATTGAATTATTATTTAGTATTATTTATTTTATTTAGAATTATTAAATTGAATTATATTACTTAGGTAATGTATTTAGCCCATTTATTTGTGAAATATGATTCAATAAATGAATCGAATTATTATTATTATTATTATTAATATGTTACATTTATATATTTAGTTTCATTTGTTTGTTTTACTTTTATTATTATCTAAATAAATTAATTACTTATTATATTTTATCCTGTACTCTGGTTTAGTGCTTGGCTGTTATTGGCCTTTTTGGCTGTTGTCAAGCACTTAAATAAGTGAATTGAATTGAAATCATAAATACGAAACACACAAGGTTTCCCCGATTTTTATGTAATTCCAAGTTTCATTACCGCGTTCAAAAGAGCCTACCACTACTCTCTATCCTGAGAATGATGAAGTTCACAGCTTATTTCCTTAAAATCCATTTTAATATTACCCTTACATCTATGCCTAGGTCACCCGAGTGGTCTCATCCCTTTTCAGATTTGAGACCAATCGAAAACAGGAAATACAAAGTCAATAAAACATTAAAATGAAGATTGATAATGTCAAGTCTCTAGATTCCAGTGTTAACTAAATGCATTACCTGATTTTCCTTACAGACTAGCAGGCCTCTCACATACCTTGGACAGCATATCCAGAAGGAGTGGTGAGTGGAAAGGGGAATCATCGTGTCTGTCCCGGTAAGACAAAGACTCCAGGCGACTGTAAGCCACACTGCCATCAGTGTTATGCAGTCGACCCGCTGAGAAACCCAGGTGATACGTGAGGTACACAGACAGCAGGGAGAAGGACGTAATTACAGCCAGGAGGTCCCGAATTGACGACAACTGCAGTGGACATCGGAGCAGCATCTTCTAGTGGCCTCTCCTCCCTCACCTGAACCAACACAGGAATTGCCCTTAGATTTTCACGGCTGGAGTTCAACGCATAACGTCGGCTTCCGGTGAAGAGCCCTTTCAAATGTCGCTGTAGCTACACAACATAAGACTTCATACACTGTGTGGTGGGCAGGTAAAATGTGATAAGATGTTCCTGCAATATGAAATACCTTGTATCCAGGTTACCATAACTATGCTGCGTTGTAGTATATGTAAATAGCAGACTTCCCCTAAACAGCATTACCATGGTCTGCGTTGTAGTACATGTAAATAGAAGACTTCCCCTAAACAGCATTACCATGGTAACTGTTATATTACCCATAAAGACCAAAATTCCTGAACAGCAAATGATCACCATTTCATGACAACATTAATAAAAAACAAACATTTATAAATATCATCACATAAACCCCAAACTGCCTTAACAAAAACAAATAATAACCAAACAACCAAGCTTTCAATACTGCTTATTTTATAGATAGATCGTACAATGGAAGTTAGCTCCAAATATTTTTTTCAATTGGCTTCTGTCAACTGTAATTAAATAATTCTGAAAGTGTTAATTTCAGTGAAATAAGTCTTAACTTCAACTGCACTGAATTTGTTTAGAATAGAAAAACTGATGTACATTAAAACTATAACAATTTTATTTTACGAGAGTTATTTCTTTGAAATCGAAGTTTCAAACTACACCCTATTCCCCTTTATTCACATTTGAGAAACCCTTCAATATGTGGAGCTAAGTTATTCTTCATAAGAAGAATATTCCATGTGAGATGTTGATTTTGCTTGCTACGGGCAGCCCAAGGCTACAGGGATGGTAGATGCATATTCTACCCTGCATGGAAACACAATCCGAATTCAACATTTGATGCCACTCACGCTGTGCTAAGGGAGAGAGAGGTTCCACGATCGCACGACGCCACTCCCGTCACAAGAGCGTCCACAAGCAGTGTCGGACTGACGTCAGACATCCATAATGTAGGTTTGTAGCTTGGTGATAATTTGATAGTACGAAATTTTGGGCCTAATGGAATATTATTTATGAATATGTATTCTGTCATAACCGCCACGGTGGTCTAGAGGTCAGAACACTAGCCTTGTAATCATAGGGTCTCGGGTTCAATTCCCGGTGGTGCTCAGATTTATAACTTGTGTTGGGCAAGGCCGTGGTCTAGGCAACACGGAGTTTTCCTCCGGGGGCTTCCCCGGTTTCTCCGTGGCATCCCAACAATTACTCCATTCACACACAGAAGAAGGCAATGGCAAACCACTTCTGGATCATCTGCCAAGAACGTATATGAACAGGTCCCAGTCCGAGAAAAGGATGGAAGGATCCTGTACATATGGACCTGTCGTCAGACAGAACACTAAAAAAAACTGTTATAACCGTTGCCATGTTAATTCTGTTAAGGGACTTAGGCCTTATGCCTTCATAGGTATGTTGGTTTGCTGGTCATCATTTGATGTTATGGGATTATGGACCTTATGGTATAATAATGATGACTGTGTGTTCAGTACTTTATATTTTCCCGTCATTCTCGACGGGTAATTTACTAGCAACATTCCAATGCATAGGAAGACCGTATCGCCAGTGATCCCAGATAAAACCACTAATTAAGCACTGACTGTGATCGAACTTTGTAGACGCATACCTCAGTCTTTGCTAAACTGTATCACGTCACACGTAGTGCTCAAAGTGTTGCCCTATGCACAATTGGACATGATGGATCCAAATCCTTTAGGAATCACGTTATCTTAAAATACTTTTGACCAGCAAGTTCCCCGCATACAACCACCAGATTTTTCTAATGGGTCACACAGGAAGGATCTACACAAACCAGCGTCGCAACAGCGAAAACCTCAACACGGACAATTAGAGTTCGGTACGCCAGGAACCGAAATATTAAGCTTAAGTCATGTTTTCCACAGTTTAATTTTATGAGAATACAATGATCACGTGAATCCAGTTATCAGTAATTACGTAAAAGCGAAATAAATTCTTGAAAGACATCACACTTGACGCTTTGATTAGAAAACAAAATGAAGGCAAAGGATAAATTAATTCCCATTTCCTTGTTAATACACATAAGGCAGGAAAAATTACAAGATGGCGGGCGCAATAAGTTAGAGCAAACAAGTGTTAGAACTCTGCCCTTACCAGTGAAATAATTGCCTTCCCCTGCCTTGCACCTGAACCTTCAATTGATTACCCACACAGTAACCTTAATGCAGGGTTGACGGATGGCGTATATTCGTCTGCGTCCCTCACAGAAGCTGGATTACTGGTCACAGGATGGCGACTTTCACTTAGATACAACATTTCACTCATATGTTATGAGTTTAAGGAAATCGCTTCATGCTCAGAGTAGGACTGAGAAATAGCAAATTACAAATACCATTACAGAGAATGAATATAGACACGTCGCATTAGAACCAGTATTTCTTTTCTACTCGTATATCGACCCAGAATAAATCATATTTACTGTAAACTTACATAAATGTTACGAAGCATATTCCTAAGAAAACTAATGTTTCTAAGTCCTTTTTTCCTACAACGGTTATAAATAATTGGTTGAATAAGAAAAATTGCTTAATTCTTTTTTCTCATTTTGTTCCTCTGAACAATAATCATTACTGTGTTTGTATTTATTATTATTATTTAGTGTTCTGTGTGACGACAGGTCCATATGAACAGGATCCTTCCATCCTTTTCTCGGACTGGGACCTGTTCATATACGTTCTTGGCAGATGATCCAGAAGT